CGAAAAATTTAGCTACTCGTAGCCTGCTATTGACCAGAAAGCTCACCAATAATATAAACAGTTGGTTAACATATTTTGTATGTTATATGTATTATATACTGTATTGAAATAAAATAAGCTAGAGAAAATGTTATTAAGAATAGCATAAGGAAGAGAAAATAGAGTGTGTATTGAAAAAAAATCCACGTGTAAGTGCTTCCACAGTTTAAGCCTGTTATTCAAGAGTCTAACAGCATAGCCTTAAGTAGAGGTCAGTAGTGCCTAAACAGCATCATCTAGGAATTGGCAGACCTGTATGGAGAAGACTCCGGAGAGGATGACTAAGGTTAATTCTTCTGACAATAATTGTGATGCAAAGCTGATCTTGAACAGGAAGGAAGAACTATTCTCTGTGGTACCAGCCAGTCTCCATGAGTTCAGGATGGGCAGGAGCTAGTGAAGATTCTGCCATGTAGTTGTCTGACTGCTTTTTCTCTCTGAGAATTTCTTTAAAAATTGCTTGATTTTTTTTAAAAAAGGATGAATTTGAAGGTATGCAAATGCTATATCTTATATAACTACATGATTATCTCAAATGCAAAAAACATTTGACAAAATTCAATTTCTATTTCTGTAAAATCTTTATGCAAACTAAGAATAGAAAGGGACTTCCTCATCTGATAAAGGCCATCTGTGAAAAACCCATAGCTTGCCCTGGTGGGTATGCTCAGTGTTCAGAGCACCCACCCTCGAATCAAGGTGTGGCGGCTTCAATTTCGGGGAAAGGGCATGTCTGTGGATTTTAGGTTTTATCCCTGACCCTGATAGGGGCCACATGCAGGAAGCAACCAGTTGATGTGTCTCTTTTGTATTGATGTTTCTCTCCCTCTCTCTCTCTCCCTCTCTAAAAATCAGTGGAGCCCTAGCCAGTTTGGCTCAGTGAATAGAGCATCACCATGCAGACTGAAGGGTCCTACGTTCTATTCCAGTCAAGGGCACGTGCCTGGGTTGCAGGCTCAATTCCCACTAGGGGTGTGCAGCAGGCAGCTGGTCAATGATTTCTCTCTCATCACTGATGTTTCTGTTGCTCTCCCTCTCCCTTCTCTCTGAAATCAATAAAAATATATTAAAAAACAAAACAAAAAACAAACCTACATCTCACTTAATGGTGAGAGACTGAAAGCTTTCTCCTGCGATGTCTTTTCCCTACTTTTATTTGTCACTGTGCTGGAGATTCTGGATAGTGCTGCAACTTAAAAAGAGAGAGAGATCCAGTATGAAAAGAAGTAAAACAGTCCTAATTTGCAGGTAGCATGATTTTTTATGTAGAAAAATATGAAATCTATAAAAGTGCAGTTAGCATTAATCAGTTTAACAAGTTTACAAGTTATCAATTGAATTTCTATATACTAGCAATGAACAGTTGGAAATTGTATCAAATTAAGTGGAACCGGTAAATCTTAGATGTTCAAAACTTGTACACTGAAAAATATAAAACATTACTGCGAAAAATTAAAGACCTAAATGAGTGGAGGAAGATGCTGTGTTCATGGGTAAAAGACAATATTGTTAAGATATCATTTCTCCTTAAATTGAGAATATAGAATTGAGACTCCTCCCCCCAATCAAAATTTCAGCAGACTTTTTTGTAGCAATTGACAGGCTGATTCTAAAATTCATATGGAAATGTAAAGAACCTAAAATACGCAAAACATCTGAAAAAGAACAAAATTGAAGATCTAATACTATCTGAATTTAAGACTTCTTATAAAGCTAAAGCAATCATGAGTATGTGCTATCGGGACAAAAACAGAAAAGTAGACCAGTGGAACAAAATCAAGAGTCCAAAAATAGACCATACACTATCTAATAAAGGGGGAATATGCAAATTGACCCTCATGCTGTCACAAAGATGGTGGCACCTACAGCCAGTTAGGAGGGAATATGCTAATTAACTGCCCTGCCTCAAAGATGGTGGCGTCCAGTCCGGGACACCTGCCTCCGGAGTCCCCTCAGCTCCCAAGCCACCCAGGGCCAGCCCAAGGCGCAGGCAAGCCTTGGATGGTGGTTGCTCAGCTGCCCAGGATTAGCCCAACAGGCAAGCAAGCCTTGGATGGTGGCTGCCCAGTTGCCCAGGGCCAGCCAAGGCTCAGTAACCAGGGCCAGCTGAAGCTTGCACCGTCAGCAGTGGCAGCAGCAGAGGTGTGATGGGGTGTTGTTTTCCCCTGATCGCCAGGTCCCCTCCCTCCCCTGAGGGCTCCCGGACTGTGAGAGGGGGCAGACCGGGCTGAGGGACCCCCCTCCGGTGCATGGATTTTTATGCACTTGGCCTCTAGTATATCTATAATACTGATTTTCAACCAGTGTACAAAGGCAAGTCAGTGGAGTAAGAAGAGTCTTGAACAAATGGTGTTGGGATAATTGGATCTTCATGTGTAAAATAAAATGAATCTTGAATGATATCTCATATAACTTACAGAAATTAACTAAAAGTGGATCATAATCTTAAATGTAAAATCTAAAACTGTAAAAGTTCTAGAGGAAAACATAGAAGAAAATCTTTGTGATCTTGGTTTAGGCAAAGATTTCATAAATATGACACCGATAGTATAATTCATAAGAAAAAATTGTTAAATTTGGTGTTGTCAAAACTAAGAGTTATTCTTCAGAAGACATTTGGAGAATGACAGGAGAAGGCCCAGATTGGAAGAAAATATTTGTAAAGCATATATCCGATAAAGGTCTTAAATTCAGGACATATTAAGAAACTGGCAAAAGATAAATAGACCCTTGACCAAAGAATATACATGGATGGCAAATCACATGAAAAAGTCAACACCATTTGTTTTGAGGGAAATCCAAATTGAAACCACAATAAAATACTACTACAGACCATTAGAATGGATAATATTACAATGACTGACCACACCAAGTGCTGGTGAAAATGGGGAGGAATGGGAGCCCTCATGGGAATGAAAGATGGAATAACCACTTTAGTTCTCTTTTGTTTTTGTTAATACTCACCTGAGGGCATTTTGCCATTGTTTTTCAGAAAAAAAATAGGAGGGTGGGGGGAGAAAGAGAGATCAGTGTGAGAGAGACAAATTGACTGGTTGCCTATTGTGGATAAGGTCCTTGACCCGAGACCCTTCAGTGTATGGGCCAATGCTGTGCACTGAGCAACACTGGCCAGATTGTTTTTTAAAGAGTTAAATATATGCCTACCATATAATCCAGCCATTCTACTCTTAGGTATTTACCCAAGAGAAAAGAAAACATGAGTCCATACAAAGATTTATACATGAATGCTCACAGCAGTTTTGTAACATACAATGAACTGTTACTCGGCAATGTAAAGGGATGGCCTGCTAACATATGCTGTAGCGTGAAAGGATCTCCAAAGCATTATGCTGGGGGGGGTGGGGTGGGATTGAGACACAAGAGGACTATGAGCTCTGATTTCACGTATGAAATATGTGGTGACAGGAAGCAGATCACTGTTTTAATGCCAGGGTCTTAATCCAGCATCTAGAAGGGGTTCAGGAGTCTGGGGAAGGGCTGTGTGTAAATCAATCAAGAATCCATAATTTTGAAGGCATTTGAGGGGCCAGAGGAGCTTGGCTAAAGAAACCAAGTTCTTCCTTGTCTCAGGACCCCTTGCTTTTTATTAACACAAATAAAAAGGTATCTCTACCTAAAGCAAGGTAGATGTACATATCAAAGGCCAGAGTTTAGTATACAGAATCCATTGTCAGGTTTGGGAGAAACTGCCTTCAGCTGTTCAGGTGTTTGGCCAAGAGGAGACAATGACGTGTAGATTGAAATGCCCTTAGCTTTCTGGCAGCAAGCAGACATTTATGCATCCTTTTCAGGTTTGGGGAAATGCCCTCAGCCATTTCCAGATAATTCAGCCCTCCTGACATGCTAGAATTGGCTTCTGGCACTGGTTGCTTGGTGCTTGAAAATGAAATTAAACAAAGGCATAAGGAAACATTTGTCATGATAAAATACTTGCATTGTCTGTGGGTATCTACATGCATCAGAGTTTATGAAATTACTAGAAGCCCGATGCACAAAGATTCGTGCCAGAATGGGCCTGCCTTTCCCTGACTGACGGCACCGCCTTCATTCTGGCCAACCCGCCTTTTCGCTCTGGCCGGAGCTGCCTTTCTGCCTTCTCACACTGCCCAGAGGCCTAAAGCTGCTGACGGTGCAGAACGCCTGCATCGTCACCATGGCAACAACGCAAGTGCCCCGCCCCTGGCTGCTCTGCACCTGCACATGCAAATTAACCTGCCATCTTAGTTGGGTTAATTTGCATGCTCCTGATTGGCTGGTAGGCATTGTGAAGGGGTACGGTCAATTAGCATGTTACTCTTTTATTAGGTAGATATAGTTTAAATATGTACAGTTAATTGTATATTGATTAAACCTTAATAAAACTTAAAAATTGATTAATACTTTGAGGTTTTAAAATATATATATTTTTATTGATTTCAGAGGGGAAAGAAGAGGGAGGGAGATAGAAACATCAGTGATGAGAGAATCATTGATCAGCTGCCTCCTGCATGCCCCCGATTGAGGATTGAGCCCACAACTCAGGCATATACCCTGATTAGGAATCGAACCGTGACTTCCTGGCTCATAGGTCGATACTGAGAATCACACCAGTTGGGCAGTACTTTGAATTTTTAATGCACTGTTTCTGTGGTTTGTTCTCACTATAGAAGGTTAGTAGTTACAGGGGACGAAACAGGCTAGGGGGAAGTGACGCACCTTATGCCTGCTCACTCAATGGCTGAATGCAGACCAGGGCCCGCTCTGTATTCATTGGTGCCCATTGCCAGAAGGACGCATCTTGTCCTGGAATCTAAGTCTCTGATATTATTTTATGCTCTTGTTTTTCACTAATTCTTTGGGGAAACTACATTTTATTTATGTTCTATTAATGTTTCTTCTACTGATGTTGACAGAAGACAAGGTGCTGTGTGTTTTTTTAATTGTCTCATGCTCTCCCTCAGGGCACAGTCTTTTGCTGAGCGCCTTCGACTGGGCATTGCAGTGATTCACGGAGAAGCTCAGGACGCTGAGTCCGACTTGGTGGATGGACGGCATTCCCCACCCATGGTCAGGAGTGTGGCTGCCATCCACCCCAGCCTGGAGATCCCCAGTAAGTGTGCTGCCCCTTTTTTGCTTTCTCCTTTGCTTTTAAGGCTAACTCAATTTTTGTTTTGTTGTTATTATTTTGTTGTTGTTATTCATCCTCACCCGGGAATATTTTTTCCATTGATTTTTTAGAGAGTGAAAGGGAGGGAGGGAGGTGGGGAGAGAGACAGAGAGAAACATCCCTCAGGGGATGTCAGACTGCCGGGACCCAGATTACGAGAGGGTGCAGGCCAGGCTGAGGGACGCTAGCTGTGCATGAATCCGTGCACTGGGCCTCTAGTTTCATTTTAAGTTTCTAAAAGTGAGATTAATAAATCAATTCCTAATGGGTTATATACCACTAGAGACCCGTTGCATGATATTCATGCAAGAATAGGCCCCTGGCTTCACTCCTAGCCGCCTGAGAGCCTGCACATCCCTGCTCCTGGGCTGCCCAGAGCCGGAAGTCCCAGCTCCCCAGCTGCCTGGGAGCCGGGAGGTCCCCACTCCTGAGCCGCCCAGAGCCAGCAAGTCCTCACTTCTGTCTGGAGCACCACTCCAGTAGCTCCCTCCTCAGCCCGCCTTCCCCTCATAGCAGGCTTCACACTGCTCCATCTGTATATGCAAATTAACAGTCCATCTTATTGGGTTAATTTGCATAATCACTCTGATTGGCAGTGGGCATAGCGAAGGTACAGTCAATTAGCATTTTTCTCTTTTATTAGTGTAGATTATACTCTTTCACCAGTATTGGGATTAAGTGCCTGGGAAAAGGAGTGTTGAAAAATGTAAAAAAATTACTTCTGTTTTGGAATTTATCTTGCTTTGTTTAGCTTTACATTTCTGTACTCTCTCTCCCCATACCAACCTAGGTTCACATATTGCATTTCATGGTCAACTTGTCTTTAACCTTTTAATTTAGAGCAGGGGGGGGAGGGGGTATGGATTTTGTCCCTAGAAAACAGTTGGAAATGTCTGGAGACATTTTTTCATTGTCACATTGAGGAGGGTCACTATTTGCATCCAGTGAGTAGAGGCCAGGGATGCTGCCTGAAGGACAGCTCCCGCAGCCAGCCTTCTGTCCCGGAGTGTCAGTGGTGCTGAGACTGGGAAGCGCTGATCTAAAGCAGGCCTTTCTACTCTTTTCTTCAGTGATATTGACCTTTTTGTAAAAATTAAAGTCAAAGTCACTGAACAGAATTAAACATTAAGAAATACACAGTTCACTGGCATTCAGTACATTCAGAGTGTTGCCATTTCTTTCTAGTTTCAAACTGTTCATCACCCCAGAAGAACACGTCTTCTCGTTAGGGAATCGCATCCCCACGTGCCCCGGGAGCTTCGTTCTGCGTTCTGTCCCTGTGAATTGGCCTATTCTGGATTATTCATATAAGTGTGATTATACAATGTGACCTTTGGTATTCAGTTTCTTTCACTTAGCATGTCTTCAAAGTTCATCCAAGGATGCATGTACCTTTTGAAGGATGAATCATATTCCATTGTATGGGTTTGCCACAGTTTGCTTATGCATTCATTCATTGATGGATATTGGACTGTTTCTAACTTTGAGTATAATGCTGCTATGTGCATTCATGTACAGGTTTGCTACAGACATAATTTCATTTCTCCAGGTCTATACTCAGGATTAGAATTGCTGGTTCCTATGATAGTTTTATGTTTAACTTTTTGAGGAACCACCAAACTGTTTTTTCATAGCAACTATCCTATTTTACATTCCTACCAGCAATGTGCAAACATTCCAATTTCTCCATATCTTTATTAACACTTAATTTCTGATTTTGTTATTATAGTCATTATTAACTGAAAAATAACTCATCAAAAAGGATTTATTCAGGAAAAAGAAAGGCTTGCAACCTAGTGCATGCAGATATGGGAAGCCAGTGTACTCTGGCCTGCATGTTGACATGGAGGGCATTTATGGAAGGGAAAAGGAAGTTAAAGGAAGGGGAAATTGGAACCATAGAGCTTCATTATAAACAGAGCTCTTCCTGAAGGTTATTCTCAGTTACGCAGAGTGCAGTGGTACTTTATTGTAGTTTTGGTTTGCGTTTCCCTATTGGCTAGTGGTGTTGAACGTTTTTCCATGTGTTTGTTGTCCATTTGCTTAGTTTTTGGATAAAAGTTTATTCAAATCCTTTGCCCATTTTTAAATTGAATTGTTTGCCTTTTTATTGTTGTACTAGAGGCTCAATGCACAAAATTTGTCAAGGGGGTTGGCCCTTGCAGCCCCAGCTTTGTCCGGAAGGTTGTCCAAATGGTCATTCTGCTGTTTGGTCTAATTAGCATATTAGCTCTTTATTATATAGGAAGAGTTCTTAATATATTCTGGACAATAGACTCTTATCAGATATGATACGTGAATTTTCTCCTCTCATTTTGTAGGTTGTCTTTACTTTCTCAATAGTGTCCTTTGATGCACAAAAGGCTTTAATTTTGATGTTCAGTTTACTTATTTTTATACAAGAGGCCCGGTGCACAAAATTTGAGCGTGTGTGTGCGTGTATGTGTGTGTGTGTGTGTGTGTGTGTGTGTGTCCTTCAGCCCAGCCTGCACCATCTCCAATCTTGAGACCCTTCGAGGGATTTCCCTCCCCCCCCACCGTGGGGTGGGATTGGGCCTAAATGGGCAGTCAGACATCCCTCTCACAATCCAGGACTGCTGACTCCCAGCCTCTCATTTGCCTGCCTGATTGCCCCTAACTGCTTCTGCCTGCCAGCCTGATCACCCTCTAACCACTCCCATGCCTGCCTGATCGATGCCTAACTGCTCCCCTGCCAACCCAATTGCCCCTAACTGCCCTTCCCTGCCGGCCTGGTCACCCAATTGCCCTCCCTTGCTAGCCTGGTCACCCCTGACTGCCCTCCCCTTCAGGCCTGGTTACCCCTAACTGCCCTACCCTGCTTGCCCAGTCACCCCTAATTGCCCTCCCTTGCAAATCTGGTCCCCCCCCCCCCCACAACTGCCCTCCCCTGCCAGCCTGGTCATTCTTAACTGTCCTCCCCTGCTGGCCTGGTCCGCCCTAACTGCCCTCTTTTGCAGGCCTGCTCACCCCTAAATGCCCTCCCCTGCAGGCCTGATTGACCCCAACTGCCCTCCCTTTGCAGGCCTGGTCCCTCCCAACTGCCCTTCTCTGTTGGCCTGATCGGGTACCTACAACTGCTCTCCTCTGTTGGCCATCTTGTGTCCATATGGGGGCAGCCATGTTGTGTATTGGAGTGATGGCCAATTTGCATATTACTCTTTTATTAGATAGGATTTGTTGCTTATCTTTTGGTCATATCTAAGAATCCATTGCCAAATTCAGGGTCATTATGATTTATTCCCAGGTTTTCTACTTAGAGTTTTATAGTTTTAGCTCATATTTTTAGGTTTTTGAGTTGATTTTCATATATGGTATGAGATAGGGGTCCAGCTTCATTCTTTTGCTTGTAGAATTCAATTTTTCAAGCACTATTTGTTGAAAAGACTTTTCTTTCCTCACTGAATGTTCCTGACTTCCTTGTGAAAAATCACTTCTAAGTGTCTATTGATGGATGAATGGATAAAGAAAATGTGTATATTATTAATCCATAAAAAAGAAGAAAATCCTGCCATTTGTGACCACATTAAAGGACATTGAGTATATTATCCTAAGTGAAATAAGTTAGAGAAAGACAAATAATGTATGACCTCACTTATATGTGGAATCTTAAAAAAAAAAAACACACACACACACACAACAAACTCATAGATACAAATGGTAGTGGCCAGGGCTGGGGAATGGAGGGAATGGGGAATTGTTGATCAGAAGGTACAAAATTCCAGATAGAAAATGTGTAAGTTCTGGGGATCTAATGGACTTCATGGTGACTATAGTTGCTAACAGTGTTGTATTATATACTTAAAGGTTGCTAAGAGAGTAGATTTAAAGTGTTCACAACACACACACACACACACACACACACACAAATTAAAATCATGAGAGGTGATGGATGTATTGACTAATCTTGTGGGAATCATTTTGTAATATATATGTGTATAAAAACATGAGGTTGTACACCTTAAACTCACACAGTGTTAGATGTCAATTTTATCTCATAAAACGGGGGGAAACTCATTGGCCATGGGTGTTGGCTTTATTTCTAGACTCAGTTCTGTTGCATTGATCTGTATGTCTATCTTTATGCCATTACCCACATTGTTTTGATTAATAAAGCTTAATATCAACTGTAATTGAAAAAATAAAATAATGAAGTTTTATAATAGGATTAAAATAGGGAAGTGTGAGCCTTCTACCTTTATTCTTCCATTTTTTAAAAGATTTTGGCTGTTTGGGGGTCTTGTATTTCCAGATGAATTTTATTTTCAGTTTATTTCTGCAGAAGCAGCAGTTGGGGTTCGAAAGGGTTGCATTCCCTCTCCAGATCCCTTTGGGGGAAGCATTGCCATCTTAACCCTGAGTGTTCTGACCTATAAACATGGGAATGCTTTTCATTTGTTTTCTTTAATTCCTTTTCATCCTGTTTTATGTTTTCAGTATACGAGACTCACCTCCTTGGTTAAATTCATTTCTTGGTATTTTATTCTCTGTTACTTTTTAAATGGAGTTGGTTTTTTAATTTCCACTTCAGATTGTTAGTTACTAGTGTGTATAAACATTAAATTTTATGTATTGATCTTGTATCTTACAACTTTAGTGAATTTGTGTATTAGCTTTAGTAGTTTTTTTATAGAATCTTTGTTATTTTCTACTGGAGGCCTGGTGCATGAAATTTGTGCACTGGCAGGGGGCAGGGTGTGGGGTGTGGGTGTGGGTGTGGGTGTGGACAGTTCGGTTGTGCTTGTCAGCATGAGCCCGGCTTCTGGCTGAATGGCACTCTCCTTGTGGGAGCACACTGACCACCAGGGGGCAGCTCCTGCACTAACCACCTCATAGCAACTGGTCATTCTGGGCATTCTGCTGTATCAGTCAGTCAGGCTTTTATTACATAGATTTGTAGGGTCATGTCATCTGCTAATAGATATAGATTTAGAGATAACTTTATTATTTAGATGTGTAGGAGCATGTCATCTGCTAGTAGATAATAGATATAAAGATAACTTTACATCTTCCTATCCATCTGGATGATTTTTTTTCTTTTCTTGTGGAATTGCCCTATCTGTCACAGCCAGTCCAGTGTTAATTAGCAATGGGGAAAGTGGAAATCTTGTCCTATTACTGATCTTAGGGGAAAGTTTTAATCTTTGATTAACTACATGATGTTAGCTGAGGTTTTCATGTATACTCTTTATCATAGGAAGTTCCCTCTATTTCTAGTTTCCTGGGTCTTTTTATCATGAGACATTGGCTTTTTAAAGGCTTTGACTTTTTAATATAGAAACCTTTGTGCATGTGCTTTATTCTGACCAGTGCTGATTCCTAAAGAAAAGCCCCCAATCACAGTTGTTGGTGATGTGGGAGGAAGGATCGCCATTATTGTGGTATGTAAACCTCTTTTATTATTAATTATTTTATTTGCCATTGTTATTTTGTTAACTTATTTGTTAATTGTGTGGGGTATGTCCAGGTAAGTCTGATTTGAGTTGGTACCTTTCACGAAATGTTTATGTTGGTCCAAAAATAAAAAATTGTTACCATTAGTTTATTAAGAAATTGCTAATTACTTTGTTAACTGTTATGATAAATAACTGTTTATCGTAACATGAAAAATTGTTTTGTGATCAAAATAGGATATAAAATGGATATATAATAGGATATATAATAGGATATAAAATCTCACAGTGCACAAAACCATTGCACAGAACATTTAATACCTGTATTATAGTTTAAATAATAAAATTAACATATGGCTACTCACTGCTCAGTTTGGAGCATGAACACTGGTGAGTTCCCTTCAGCACCCGGGGCCTTCCCTGCCTCTCTCTTCTCTTCCCACCAGAGCTGGTCCCTGCCCTGAACCGGCCTTACATAGGCTTACGTCCTGCCGTGAGTGCACGTGTCCCTGTCCGCAGTAAATAAAACAGCACTGCGTTGTTTGTTTTGCCATTTACATAATGAAGTTTATACTTTGTGGCATTTTGTTCTCCCTGCTTTGAGAGTTCTTTGGGTGGTACATGATTCTTTTTCACTGAATTGTGTCCCATGTATGATTATTACACAACTTATTTACCTGTTTTCTGGGCTTTGGACATACAGATCTTCTATTTCCAAATAATAGTGCTTTGCACGTCTTCACCTTGTTTTCTGGTGCATGCACACAGGCTTTCTAGGTGCCTGCGAGCGAGATGTGCAGTTTGGAAGTAGACACATTCCCAGCCTGCTAGGTGGTGCCACCCGGTTCCCAAAGCCCTCATAGTAGGCCCCACATTCTCCCGGCACTGGTCATCTGTTAGAAAATCTCTGACGTCCCCTATAGGGTAATGCTGTCTGGTAATTTATAGAATCTATAGTAGCAAGATGTAATAACAAGGTGTAGTGACAAAATCTGTAGCACTGTTTTCCCCTTCGTACTGCAACTGCATTAAAAAATTTTTTTTAAAACTTTTTATTTTGAAGTAATTATAGATTCATAGGAAGTAGAAAAAAATATATAGGTCTTGCATACTCTTTACCCAGTTTCCTCATTCTCACTCAACTGTAGTATATAACATAGTCTAGAAATTCATATTGCCATCTCCTTTGAGCTGATTCAAATAGCACTAGTGTTGTGTGTGTATGGATGTATGCAGTCTTACCGCACATGTAGCTGTGTGTGACCACCACTGCAGTCAAGATTTGGAACTAGTCCACCACATAGCTCTCTCTTGCTGCCCCTTTAGAGCCACACCCACCTCCTCCTCATCTCACCTCTTTTTTATTTTCTTGGTTAATCTTCACCTGAGGATATTTTTCACAATCCTGTAGAGAGAGGGAAAGACAGTGAGAAACATCAATCGGTTGCCTCTTGCATATGCTGGACCAGAACTTGGGGAGGAGCCTGCCACTGAGGTACGTGCCCTTGACTGGAATCGAACCTGGGACCCTTTGGTCCATAGGCCGGTGCTCTATCCCCTGAGCCAAACTGGCTAGGGCATCCCCTAATTTTTGTAGTCACTAGTCTATCCTCTGTCTCTGTAATCGTGATTTCAGGAAAGTCTCATAAATGGAAAAAAGGTCCACCCAGGTTTTATATTACCAGGTGTACCGGCTAGTAATATGGATTTTGTAATCAAAGAAAACAAGATAATGTCAAGAGAAACATCAAAAGTACTTTATTCAAAGTAATGTCCATCACTCGCTACACATTTCCCCATCTTTCAGGTAATTTGTGGATACTGTTACAATAGAACTTTTCTTGTTTTGAGACAAACGATTCAGACACCCAGTTTCCCACTTTGTATGTTTTGAAGTGCTGCTCAGACCGTGCATATGCCATCGATCGGAACACGTGGTCATTTGAAGGAGCAGGGTCTGGTGAATGTGGCGGGTGGGGTAATACTTCCCAGGCAAGATCTTTTAACGTGTCTTTAACTGGTTTTGAAGTGGGTGATGGTGCGACATCATGAAGCAAAATTACTTTGCCGTGTCTTCTGGAACATTCTGGTCATTTTATGATCAAAGCGTGGTTCAAATTGATTATTTGTTGTCAGTAGTGATCAGTATTAACGGTTTCACTTGGTTTTAGAAGCTCATAATACACCACACCTTCCTGATCCCACCAAACACAGAGCATTGTCTTCCTTCCGAAGCGATTTTGCCTTGCAGTCGATGTTGATGGTTGGCCTGGATCAACCCATGATTCTGTGCATTTGGGTTCTCGCCTGGGTGTAACAGGAAAGACACAGGTTTTTCCCTGTTTCTCTCCTGTGTGTCTATTGCTCACACCATACACTTTTCTCTGCACCAGATGTGACATTTCCCCCTACAGTTTAGCTCAGATACTGTCTACCTGGAAATAGTGCCAGATTCACAGCCACCGCTCAGATGCTGTTTACAAGTAACAGGTTATCCCCAACTTCTGTGCAATTTGGCTACAGATGGGGGTTCCCCCAGCCCCTCTGCGTTGGGCTGATTTGCTAGAGCAGCTCGCAGGCCCGGGAGCAGGTCACCGCTTCCTTGGGGGACGGGACGAGGACAAGGAGCGGCCCGGGAGGAGCCAGGCTGAGGCTGGGGGCGGAGCTCAGGAGGCGGTCCCCGCAGAGGGGGCGTGTGTGTGTGTGTGTGTGTGTGTGTGTGTGTGTATGTCTCTCCCCCCCCCCCCCCCCCCGTGTCTGCCCCTGGCAGCGCTCTGAGCCGCTGCTCCTGGGATTCCCGGAGCCCCCCCGTGAGGCGTGGCCGGCACTCACTCCGTTCCCAGCCCCTCCCCTGGCTGAGAAGGGGGCTACCCTCCCAGGCTTCTGATCATGGAATGTTCTCTCCAGCGACCCCCCCACCCCGGGGCCACCCAGCGTCACCCCATTAGAACAAAGGCAGACTGGCCCCCAGGAAGTCCCCAGTCTCAGGAGCCCTGTGTCAGATGCCAGGGCCAGGGCCTCCAGCTAGATATTGCTAGCTTGCACTGGGAATCTATGGTCCATGTATTAGAAACCACTGAACTGGATACTTTGTTAAAAATTATAATTAGTTTCCCCCCATTATACAAATGTGTAAAAAAAATGTACTTCCCATAAGCGCAGTGGAGAAAATTTGGAAAATAAGGAAAAGTAGCAAGAAAAGAGGAAGAACCATCCAATCAAAGTATCTTGTAAGGATTTTACTATGTATTTAAAAAGCATAAACATTCAGCAGGCGTATTGGAGCACACGATGGTGGGGCACAGTCTGGGCGTGGGGAGACAGGGCAGGGAGCATGGGGTGGCACAGACAGGCCACTGTGAGGGACAGGCCTGCAGGGAGGCTGTGGAGGCCGGAGGGAGTGCGGTGGGAGCTGGCAGCGTGCGGCTGCACACGTTAAACAGAACAGCAAACTTGTTACTGGAAAGTTAGACCCTTTCTTTCTCGGGCTGTCTGATCCCACCGTGCCAGCGTGCTGATGTGCATTTGCTCAATCTCTCATTTGGCAGGATGACATTATCGATGATGTGGACAGCTTTCTTGCTGCAGCAGAGACCCTGAAGGAGAGAGGGGCATATAAGATCTTCGTGATGGCAACGCATGGCTTGTTATCTTCCGATGCCCCCCGGCTAATTGAGGAATCTGCCATTGACGAGGTAACACCAGCGGGTGTGGGCGCCCTGCCTGCCATTCTGGCCCCTTCTGAGCTGTGGTTACAGAGCGGTGAAGAGGGGCTATTTGTAGTTATGAATGGGATAAACACAGGTCTTGTTTGTGTTTCATCGACTGTAGCTGGGTCCTCGGCCCACAGTAATAGTGACTAGTTCTGATAACCGTGAGTGGAGCAGGAGCCTGTGCGGGCGCTGCGGCGCCCTGCACCTTCCTGAGCGCCCTGCACCCTCCTGAGCTCCTCGCGCCTGCAGGTGCCGCAGCCCTGGAGAGGCGGGGACTGTGCATCAGAAACGTCCAGTGCCTGAGGCCCGTGGCTTCTAGGCGGAACCATTGGGTTCAGACCTCAGTTTGCCTGATGCCAACGCCGCCTCCCTGCCTGTGCAGCTGCCTGCGATAGGAGAGGAGGCCAACGGGGATCTTCCGCAGCCGCCTCGCTCCCTGTTGTCCAGGTGCCTAGCCCTGCTTCATGCCCCTCTCTATTCCCAAGGCCAGCCAGGACCGGGACTGAGCGTATAAATCACATTCGCTCAAATAGTAAAAGTGCTGTCCCGTAGATTCCTAGCTATTGAATCTTAAACTTTTACTTTGCCACGTCTCAAAACTTTTGTTTTTGTTAATCCTCCCCAGGGATATTTTCCCATTGATTTATAGAGAGAGTAGAAGGGAAGGGAGCAACAGAGAGAGGGAAACACAGACGCGAGAGAGATAACATCGATTGGTTGCCTCCTGCACAGGCCCTGACCAGAGCCAGGGATCGAATCTGCAATTGAGGAACCCTTTAGTCCACAGCCGACGCTCTGTCCACTGAGCCGAACCTCCTAGGACCAAGTCTCACATCTTTACTCTTCAATGAGATCTTCTGAGCCTGTCCCTCTGTTTATTGTCTTTGAGGGGTTCAAGTGCTGACAAAGGCCAGGCTTGCATGTCTCTCACCAGTCCACCTCCTTTTTTAGGAGATGAAGAACTGAGAATGACTTTAGGGGCATCAAAGAGGCAAGTCTAACAGTACAGAGTTCACCTGCTGAGTACCGGGAGAAGACTTCTGGCCCCGGGCAGCATTCCTGCCCCCCTTCTCCTCCCCCCCCCCCCACACCGTCTGGCTGTCCGCATGGCTCTGGGACTGGCTCTCAGGTTAGGAATGCCAAAGCAGAGCAAGGTGCAGAGGGGCTGCTGGAGCCCAGCTTCCTAGAGCAGAGTGTGCTTCTGAGGGGAGTGTAGCCACCAGCGGAGGCCCCGGGGCGTCGCACAGTGGGAGCACTGTGAGAAAAACACATCGATTGGTTGCCTCGTGCACACGCCCTGACCAGGGCCTGGGCCAGGTAGGAGCCTGCAACCAGGGTATTTGCCCTTGACCAGAATTGAACATGGGACCCTTTGGTCTGCAGGCCAATGCTCTGTCCACAGAGCCAAACGAGCTGGGGCAGTGTAAACTGTCTTGAGCCTTATTTTGGAAGTAGGTAATATATAAGTAATAAAAATGATTCCTATCCTATATTATCTTCTTTTCACTTTTTATCAAATCTTAACTTTAAAATAACAGCTTTATTGTGATGTAATTCACATGCTATACAATTCACCCACTTAAAGTATATATGATTCGGTGTTTTTAATACATTCACAGAATTGTACATCACAACCATCAATGTTAGAACATTTCCTTCCTCCTAGAAGGAAACCTCAAACCCATTGGCAGGCAGCTGCTTCATTTAATCTTCTTCGTGTCTATAGATTTCTCTAATCCTGCCTTACACACGAGTGCAGTCACGCAGTGTTATGTTTTCTGTCTGGCTCCTTTCACTCAGCGTAGTATCATCTATGCTGTAGCATTTGTGTCAGTACTTCATTGTTTTTTGCTGAATTGTATGGAAAAAACACATTTTTGTCTCTTCATTCATGGGAATTTGTGTTATTACACTTTTCTGACTATTATGAATAATGCTGGTAGGATATTTGTATACAGGCTTTTGTATAAACGTCTATTTTAATTTCTCTTGGGTTTATGTCTAGGAGCAGAATTGCTGGGACATACGGTGACTCCATGTTTAAACTCTTATAGACCTGCCAGGTGGTTTTCCAACACAGCTGAACCTTTTTCCATTCCTCAGCGATGTAGAGGCTCCAGTTTCTCCTCACCCTTGTGCACACCTTTTGCCGGTAGCTGTACTAGTGGGTGTGAGCTTAGCAGATCTTAGGCTGAGAAACATGGACTGAAATGTTGATGAAGTATGGTAGACTCACTGTCGTCCTCAGAGATGTGAGACTAGATCAGATCTCCAGGTTGCACCAGGAAGCTCCTTGGTTTTATGCTGCTCTTATTTGTTTTTTTCTCTTGCTTCTAAGGTGGTGGTGACCAATACGGTTCCACACGAAATCCAGAAGCTCCAGTGCCCCAAGATCAAAACTGTGGACATCAGCATGATCCTCTCCGAAGCCATCCGCCGGATCCACAATGGGGAGTCCATGTCCTACCTTTTCAGAAACATCGGCTTAGATGACTGACGAGCTTCCTTTCCCACAGCTCCCCGAGGCAAACTGGAAGGTGAGGATGTGCTGAGAGAGCAGGCCGGACTGATGTACTTCCCAGGGCCATTGTGTTTCGTTCCTTTCTTCTTCATTACTGTGAAGATAGACCAACTTTTTTTGTCAATTTGGGCGTTTGTGAGTTTTTTGGGCCATTTTTATAAAAGAAAAACTGTATACTCCTCTTAAATAAAATAAGTTAAGACCTTATTGTTTTTAGTCTCTATCTTGGAAGAATATTTTTAAGCTCACAAACAGCCTTTTTCCAAAATTGTTAGAGCCCAAGTGCTTAAAAAATTTAATAAAATAGTCTACTTACTGTGTGATACCTGCAATTGAAAAGCCAAAAAAAACATACTGTCGAGTCCAGGAATGACCTTTTTAGAAATGCTCTTATAGGTAAGCACATGAAATATGTGACTGTTATTTATTTTCTGCAACTGAAGAAGGAATAAAAACTTACTGTGTTTGTGTGTGATTTTTTACCCTTTATGTGTTGGCAATTGTTTTATAACTAAAATAAAGTGAAAGCTGAATATACATGTTGTGGATGTTGAAATGTTCACCGCATTGACTAAGTTTTCTCTGCTGCAACTTGTGGGCTGACAGCCTCATAGGGATGCACTGAGCCCTGCACGTTCCTGCATGCAGTCATTTGACTGGCAGGAGAGGGACGCACCCTCAGGCGGGTGGGTGGGTGGGTGGGTGGGTGGGGAGGGACCTTGCTCCTTGTTTGACAGCACAGCCATTCTCCACAGAATGTGGCCCGGCAGCCCTTGGAGGAGCTGCCGGAGGGGTCCCTGTGATGTGATGCTTGTCAGTGCCCAGTGGGTAAGAGTTTAGGACTCGGGTGGATTGCTGAGCTCCTGAGCTGTGCCAGTGTGTTCTCCCTCCAAGGCCCTGTGTGGGCAGCCCCATCCAATTCATGGAGTAAAATTAAGACTTTCTCACCAGGGAAGATAGTTTTTTCTTCAAAAAAACAAAACACCTTAAACCTTTGCTTTCTGCCTGTGTGTAGTAGAATCTATCCTAACAAATAAAAAGCCAGGTGCCGTCACAACCTAAAGGACCAGACAGACAACTAAACACCTAGCTGAGGGAGCAGAAGCTGCGGGCCCTGGGCTGCCCGTGGCCCGCAGCAGCAGGAGGAGGGCTGGTCCGGCTCTCATGGCGTGGCAAGACGGGCCCTGGAAGCTGAGGAGCCTTGTGGGGCGGGGCTGTTAGTGTGGAGCATCGTGAGGTGGTGGAGGCGGAGGAGTATCACGGAGCTGGAGATGGAGCGGCGAGTGTGGGACGGTGGTGGCGGGGTGGGGGCTGTGAGCGTGGAGCTTTGCGGGGCTGCTGAGGCAGAAGAGCAGGGCATGGGCAGCAGAGGCCAAGGAGCCTTGTGGGGCGGGGGCTGTGAGGAGGGCTGCTGGGTGGAGCAGTGGCACAGCATGGGGGCGGCTGAGGCTGAGGAGCCGCATGGGGCTGGGGCTGTGAGTGTGGAGGTTCATGGGGCAGGGGCCATGGAGGTGGAGGAGCCATGCTGGGCAGCAGACATGGCCCTGATTGCAACTAGGTCTAGAGACCTAACCACACACGATTTAATTGTACACTGGGCCTTTAGTATATAAAAAGGTTAATATGTTAAGTGTCCCTCCTACCATCTGACTGGTCGCTGTGAGCACACTGACCACCAGGGGGCAGACCCTAATGCAGGAGCTGCTGAGCTGCAGTGACTTGGCAGCGGCAGTTCTCAGGTGACCCACCCTGAAACCAGAGAGGAAGGACCCCGATTCCTCACAGGGCCACTCGATTCCACGTTTGGCTGTGGGTTATGTTGTTGCTAGGGCACTGTGGGCCCCAAATCTGGTTTACTGTGCATTTGCATTTGCATTTGCATTACACACCCTGTATGACACAGCTGTGCTGAGTGCCCTCCCCACTCCGGGTGCCCTTGGAACGTTGGAGAGCCAGTTTCGGCCTGAGGAACCCCACCTGCCGAAGGGACCCTACAGATTCCCTTCAAGCCATGGTGCCACCCCAGGTGTGGCCAGCCAGGTAGGGACCACAGGAGGTTGGCTCCAGGGCATGTCCGTCCATCTTGCCTAGTACCACTCCACTGGCTACCTGCTAATTAATTTCCTTCCAATGAGCACAAATTTGTGCACCAGGTCACTAGTATGGAATAAAATAGTTGACTTAACACAAAGTGTAGTCACTTACTGTTTGCCATGCTGGGGTTTCTTGGCACTTTCCAAAAGCAGAGTGGCTACAGGGAGCTTGCCTGGAGCCCCGTGTGTGCTGAGCACTGAGACCCCCGAGCACCGAGACCCCCTCCAGCAGCTCCCGTCTGCACATCCCTTCTGTGCTCACCACACACAGTGCCCAGCCTCCTCCAGGCCCCATCACGTTTTCTCCTGAGTAAAGGTATCCTCACCACCTCCCTTCATATCTAATCCAGTTCCTAATGGAGGTGTCCACTTTGAACATGTGTTCTTACTTTTTGAGAACCTGCTCCTAGAAGTGGAGATGTACAACCTTCATAAATGAGCTTTGGAAATATCACAGGGATAGCTTCTTTGGCCGATGCAGCACCGGTTAACAACTGTCATCCTCTGACGAATTACCACATTTGGAAGAAGAGCTTTGGGTGTCAGGGGTGTCTCTCTCTCTCTCTCTCTCTCTCTCTCTCTCTCTCTCTCTCTCTCTCTCTCTCACACACACACACACACACACACACACACACACACACACCATGAGAGGAGTCAACCTGTACCTGTTGGGCCTTCTGAAATGAGTTCTCTGCACTGGCTGAAGCAGCTTCACAGCAAACCTCACATCCTCCTACACAGCCATGTTAAGCACCCCCCCTCCCCTCCAATCTTTTGCCCTTTTGGTACCATATTACTGTGGAGCTCTTTCAGCAGGAAATCTCCTGTAGGTGGCTGTGTCCCATGAGGTTTGATCTGCATGATTTATCTTTTTTTTTTAATCATTGTTGAAAGTATGACACATGCCCCGTTTTACCTCATTGACTTTCTAGCCCGCCCCACCCAGGCCTTCACCGCCCTATTGTCTGTCCATCGATTATGCTTATATGCATGATTTTTTGTGATGTTTCATGAAGAAAGGTCAAATTTATAGAGGAGAAGTGAATGAAACATGCCCTGGGATGTTTTCCTCTGTGATGCACTTACGGTAAAGCTAGCGAGGGCCCTGCCCAGAGCTGCCTCGGAGGGATGTGAACCCCTGAAAACCCCGTGAAGTGGGGGTTGAGGCCAGGCCCTGGCAGGCTCAGCAGGGAGTGCAGGGGCATGGCGAAGAAGCAGCTGTGCATGTGGGGGTCAGGAAGGGCAGTAGGTGGAGAGGAGGAAGAAGGAATGATGAGCAGAGCCCAGAGGTGTGATGAGCGTTATGTCACCCACGCGGCTGGAACAGGAGAAAGGCTGTGGTGGGCTGCAGGAGGTGGGAAGCACGGGGTCTGAGGGCCAAACAGCACAGAGGAGGTCTCCCTCAGCCACCTCGGTCACCTCGGTCCCCTCCCAGAGAAAGCCAGGGTGACCAGATTTTTGTCTGTTGTAGGGTTTTCCTGAGTCAGAGAAGTCCTATTTACCCTCCAAACTATTATCCCTACTTAATCAGCCAGAAATATAGGGAATTGAACTTAGAAATTCTGTAACAGAAACACTAATACTTTCTATTATTTTTAAAAAATATATATTTTATTGATTTTTTACAGAGACAGAAACATCCATAAGAGAGAAACATTGATCAGCCGCCTCCTGCGCACACCCCCCCCCCCACTGGGGATGTGCCCACTAGCAAGGTCCATGCCCTTGACCGGAATCGAACCTGGGACTCTTCAGTCTGCAGGCCAACACTCTATCCACTGAGCCAAACCAGTTTCAGCTAGTTTCTATTCTTGATTGACTGTGATGTTATCACTCTGAACAAACAAATGTGGGTGAGATCTATGCTCTTGGAATGAATGTGTGCACAAACACCACATGAGCCAAGTCTTTCTTGGTTATATTCAAAGCCTCACATTGACTCGTGGAGCCAGGATTCAGACCGACGCTTCCTGCTCTACAGCACAGTGCTCTTTCCAATCATTCCAAGCACATCCTGACTCTGAAAAAGCCCCGAGACCTCATCCTTCACTGACCTTCAGGCTCTGCCCATGCAAGAAGTGAGGGCTGACTGCTGAAAGATGTCCCACAACACATTTGGAGCCCATCTGTAGACAGATTTTATTTTTATTTGGGGAGTTAAGGCTTTTAAGGAAGTTTGTGATGACTTGCCCACTGACCACTGAGCTAACTCAACAGAGGCTGCAGTTGCCACAGTCAACAAAGACTACAGACTTGACAAAAATAGTTCAGAATAGCCACCACACAAACAATTCCAAGCAGCAATAAACCTGGGGAAGGAAGACATTTTGTATTCCATGCTTCCTAATTATAATATGCAAAACGTCTAGTTTTCAACAACAAAAAATATGGAGGCATGAAAAATAAGGTTGGGAGCACTCGTGAGGAAGTCCAATCAGACTTACCAGACAAAAATTTACAATGAACTATCTTGAATGTGCTCAGAGAGGTGAAGGAAACCCATGAGAGTAATGTCTTACTAAATAGAGAATATCAATAAAGAGATATAAATATTAAAAACCAAACAGAGGATTTGGGCAAGATGGAGGAGGAAGCACCAGGAGTCTGCCTCCCCATCTACACAAAAACCAGTGGCAAAATCTGCCAATGCAATGCCTGGGGTCTTGTCTGTTTGCGACCCTCCAGAGAAGTCTTGAGTGGTGAGGCGTGGTTCACTCTGGCCAATTGACACTCATCATAGCAGCAAATACTCATTCCTCAGCCCTGCCCTGTGGCAAACAGAAGTCTGCACAAGCTTGTGGAAGCCAGAATAGGCAAAAAGGACTCCGTTTTCCAAATAGTGGGCAACGGTGCTGATGCCTGCTCCTGATCAGAGAGGTGTAG